ACACCTCGATCAGACAGTTTTGGTTTCCATCAACAAGTTTCTGGCATTTTCTTGGTGGATATTTGATTTTTAGAATTGATTTTAATTAGTTGGTTTATTGGCACTGTTTAGGTACAGTCTTAAAGGCCTTAGTATAAGTACTTAAGTATAAGTATAAAAAAAGAAAAATGACTACTCCATGTGAATGCTCACTGTTTTTAACGTGCTTTATAAATAAAGTTGCTTGGCTGTTTTCCATCTAGCCATTGATTTGAGGTGAAGTTAAAGAATTAGGAGGTGGTCCTTCTTCTTCTTCTGCCAGTGTCACCAGTACCAAAACAGCCCCCGAACACTATGCTTCCACCACCATGCTTTGTACAGTAGTTTTATCTGACTGTACAAAACTTTACCAAAAGACAGTTTGGCAAGTTCTAGAAGAAGAGCCAAGTTACTTGGATGACACACTAGAATACATACATATTGTTCTTACGTAAAATTGTTTGTTTCACAAATGTGAATTGTTTGATTTTGGGATCTGCAGTTGTTTAGAAATGGCTCCAAGAGAGCTTCCACACTTCGACAGTTCTGATCTCCACTGAGTTACTTGGACTTTTAAACTGTTCTGAGTATTCATCAGTCCAACGAGTGCTGCCATTTATATGCTGCAAAGAGAAACTACCAATGTTAGTCAATCACAGTCAAAGATACTGTAGAACCTTCAGCATGACGTGAAAAAAAATTAATTAAAGGCCCAGAATGACTCTGACCTTCCTGCCGATGGTTGGACAGAAATGTCTGACCACAACTGAAATCCTGCTTTGTAGGGTGTGACTCAGAAGTGATGTGCCAATCTATGAGAACAGTGTTCACACTAAATCAAACCAGTTACTGTGATAGGCAGGAGGGGGACCTTCAAGACCTTTAATTCCATTAATGCTCATTGAAACTGAGTCTTGGGATTAAACATGTCCAGTCAGCTTTCTCACTGAACACGTGTTAACAGACCTCTCTGCATTGAATCATATCTGTTATTAATCTCTGTCTCTCTTCCACAGCATGTCTTTATCCTGTCTTCCTTCTCTCACCCCAACCAATCACAGCAGATGGCCCCGCCCCTCCCTGAGCCTGGTTCTGCTGGAGGTTTCTTCCTGTTAAAAGGGAGTTTTTCCTTCCCACTGTCACCAAAGTGCTGCTCATAGGGGGTCATATGATTGTTGGGTTTTTCTCTGTATGTATTATTGTAGCGTCTACCTTACAATATAAATCACCTTGAGGTGGCTGTTGTTGTGATTTGGTGCTGTATAAATAAAACTGAATTGAATTGAGAATTAAATACATTTTAATGTCTTTTTAATGAAAGTGTCTAACTTTAGGGCAAACTTCTGACTTTTCTCTGCATTAGTAAGAGCTCTCACGTCGTCCTACAAAAACACACTCTTTGCTCCACATTCACGTTTCGGGATCTGGTCACTCTGCCCGGAGTGAACTATCACATTAGTGTGTTTGGTGTTAAATTGACTCAGACTGGTTTGCTTTTTAGCCAATTTGGGTGACTTTTAGAGTGTAATGGTGCCTGGAAAAATGAGGAAGCTTGTTAAGATTTCAGTTTTTGGCAGATGGGTTTTCAGGTCGACAGACTGAGTGAAAATAACCTGCAAAGAGAAGCAAAAAAATGTAAGCATTTATCAGACAGCTGGTCTCTGACACAAGACACTGAAATGAACATTAAAAATTACAGAGCGATACCACTGCGGTCATGGTGACTGACATTCAGCCTGTCTGTTACTGACACGCTGGGCTTCCTGTTCACACTGCAGGCTTTTATTCCAAACTCAACAAAAAGAAGCAGACAAAGATGAAACGCATGCTTCGCCCAGGCGGACATTTATGATTTTAGAAATCTTTTTTTGTTCCCAGTATTTACAGCTGTGAGATAATTCATGTCTCTTTGGTATTTTATAGTTTTTTGTCAGCAGCAGTGAAAATGGAGTCATTGTGATAACGTGACCGTCTCGAGCCAGGATCAGGTAGCTTTGAACGGTGGTGAATAAATGTGGGGTAAAAGATTTGAGTTTATCTGGACAGAAATGACTTCTTGTGTTAAAGTCCACTGTGGAGAGAAAGCTCAGCTGTGTTGCTTCAGCGACTCTGTGGGAAAAGGGTTTGATCTGCAGCCCATGTCGGTCCGCTGGCTCCAACGAGCCGTCTCATTGGGTTTAATAAGGCGCAGCGTGTTAACGAGTGAAGCCAAACCTCTTACCTCTAACTAATAACCGCTCGTTCCATGTTTGCTTCCCAAACAGAGGAATGCAGATGTGCTTTCTGTCAGCATCAGAGAGCAATTCATTCTTTTCATTTCAGGGCTTTTTGTTGTTAAATTACGTGCACATCAGTTTAGGAGAGCAGCTCGTGAACTGAGCGCGCCTCGAAACCTTTTTTGTCCAAAAACTAATGGAAACACCCTCGTATTGCACTGTGTACACAAATAACTTAAACAAAAATAAAGCTGAAGGTGAAAGATGTTCCCACCTGTAGCTGGTGGCATGTGACATGTTTGCTACCTGTTTCATCTACAGGAGCAGATCACCTGTATGCTTTCCTCTCCTTCCAAATAATACTAATAATAATAATAATAATAATAACTGCATTGGCATATAAATACTTAAAGGCACACAAAGCAGAACAACATGTCAGGTTAGGTTGTGCATAAGTAATTTTGAGTACTGTGTAATTTCTTGGGAAAATACAATAGTTGCACATCTTACTCTGCAGGTAGACTGTAGCGTTTGTCGTGGCCTTAATGATAAAGTTTCCCCAAAAAACAATAGCATGCTAAAAAAAGACCCCTCAGTAATTCAAATTAAACAAAAAGAATCAGTTTAACTTGAGAATATCAGAGGAATGTTTTAAACATGTGAGCTTGTGCGCTTTCAGATCTGTGGATCTGTGTGAAATCAGCTGAAACACACACCAAGTGTTTTTCTGTTTAACTTTAAAAAAATTTGAAGTTAAACTTTTTGCAACAAGACCAGAAAAAGCCAAACTTGCAGATGTGCAGCAGGTCGGTGTGGCGTGTACGTGTCATCTGCACGGGCGCGTCACAGCGGTGGGAGGGTTTGATCTGCGGCCTGTGTCCGCTCTCTGGCTGCAATGAGCCGTTTCATTGGCTTTAATAAAGCGGAGCGTGCCAGCAACTGTCAGCTAAGGCGTGAAGCCAAACCTCCCCACGTGCTCCAGATTGGAGGATAAAAGGGAAATGAGCCAGGGGCCCCAGACAGCGAGGGTCCCCCCCACCCCCGGCCATAAGGAGTCCATTATGCTCCCGTGTGTCACGCAGCCATTTTTGTGGCATCTCGGTGGCACGCTGTGGCGTTTGCAAAGGCCCGGCCCGCCAGAGCGCTGGCACACGGCGGCCGGGACACGCTGCTAAATCCCATTAGAGTCTGTCCAGAGGATACGAGGCTGCCAGCGGCTGTCAGTCATCGTCAGGCTTTAACCTCCGGGAGCACAACACTTTTAATTAACCTTAAAAGCAAGTTCCAGTGACGAGCTTTAATACATCAGACAAATGTCTCAGCAGCCTGCAGAGGGAAACTCAAGGACGCTGCAGCCGTGAAACGCTGAGCTTTTTAATCAAGTGTGTGATGCTCACATCATCCCCCAGCCATTTAGGAAAAAATACTATTAAACCAAGAAAATGTCTTCACCTACGTGCTCTGTGTGGCATTTATTCATGTAACTGTTGCATGAATAATTAATGCTCAGCCCAACGTCGGACAGGATTACAAGGCTGGGATGAAAACCTTCTTCTTCCTTAGTCCTTCGCTGGCTGGAGACTTGAATCTATATTTACACGTTCAGTTGCAAAGTGGAACAAAATAAGAATTTATTCAACTGCAGTCAAAACGATTTCTCCAGTGAAAGGGCAGTTTAAGGAAACAGATGTTGTTCCAGGGACCTGGAGGCGATGCGAGGTCAGAGATGTAGTAATCATCATGTCCTCTACTCCACCTGTCCAGGCGACTTGTCCACCTGTCGAGAGGCGGGGAGACATTTTTGTCCTTTGCTGAAACAGAGAAGAGGCCTAACTTCTTAGAACTTGGTTCTAAAGATGATCCAAACATCATTTGTTTCACAGTTTTCAAACCAGGGTTCTCTGCTGCAAGCTTAAATGTCCCAACACCGGCATGGAGGGAGAATCTGTTTAGCCTGGACACAAAAAGAAGGATTGAAGTTTCCTCCCAGCTCATTACAGACAAAACTTAGATTAATTCTGATCTGAAGGACAAATGTGTTCGCAGAAAAAAAAAGTTACCTGAATTCTGTGGGGATATTACAGGTAACTTAAAAAAAGCCACATGAAAAACAAGATCCTAAATGACCGATTATGAGGGAAATTATATTTCTGTAAGAAATATAAACACTGTGGACTCTTCCTCACTGAGCGCGCCGGTGTTTCATCACCACAGAAGTAAGAAAACAAGTAAAATCTTGAATTTGAATAAAGTTTCTGCCTCAACACGTGAAAAAGAAACAGATGTGATGTCAACTTTCAATCAAATAACAGAAAATAAGACAAAAACCAGTGAAAGCATCTGATTAATCACGATTAGAGATCATTAAACATGGCTGCTGTGTGACAGGGCGGCCTCAAACTTTCCATTTAAACATGCGCAGATTGGGAATTTATTAATTATTTGTTCCCAAACCTTCACTCGATGGTCAGCTGAACCAGAGTTAATAACCTGCGTCTCTTTTACAAAGTTCACATTTAAAATGTGATTTTCTGAAACACAAAACCTTCAGAGGAGGATGATTTAAAACAACAACAACAACAACCATAAACAACAAGAAAAAAAAGTTGATGATGTAGAATTTCCTTCATCTTTGAATACTGAATGAATGATGCTCCGTCCTGTGTGGACCACAGTGCGCCCTCTGGCAGGCCAGTTCTGGTCCCAAACCACATGTAGATTATTTTTATTTTTCGGTTTTATTTTCATGTTTGTTTTTTTATTTTAATTTTACTCTGCAGAGTAATAATGTTTGAATGAAGAAGAGAGAATCTATTCATCTGCTGTTTGTTTTACAAATGATCCCTTTTCACTGATCTTCATCAAATTAATTAATAACTGAAAATTTGACTTTTTTTTAATGTGTTTGCATTAAACTGGTCGTGCAGCTTCTCAGCATGAATGATTGTTCCAACTGTTCCATGTTGGGATGAGTGTTTCTGTGTGGGAAAGAAACTAATCGTGCAGATTTCTGGAACAGAGAAATACTTCTTTCACTAACATCTGTGTGGTGATGGAAGCAGTGCGAAGTGTACCAGCTGTACTCAGACTAACATACAAACACGTTTTCTTTCAATCTGAGCGCTAAAATGTTTCACTGCTTCTTAAATGATCTGCTGCACGACACAAGTTTGCTTTCAGCTCCAAACTCTTATTACAAACTTTTTATAATTGAAAAACTGTACGTGACGTTTGTGTGAGTGAAACTTCACACCGTGGCTGCTGGCGCTCTCCGTCCTCCTCCTCTTCAGCCCTCAGCGGCGCACTGAGACGCTTCTAATCCTCTTTTGATGAACTCGGTTAATCGACTTCCAGCTGCGCATCTGGCAAAGTTCACTGAGCAGCACACGACCCTGTCCACGCCCCCGAAGCACGCAAGGCCCCCCACTCCATAAATTCTCCCATCAATGCTGAGAAACGTGAAGGGTCCCGGTGAGGCTCAGCGGCTGTGGCCGTTTGGTGAATGAGGAGAAGGAGACAAGAGGAGGAGAAGAGGAAGAAAGGAAGAAGGAGAGGAAGAAGTAGACAGTAGGACAAGGAGAAAGGGGAGAGCGGAGGAGGAGCAGAGATGCCTCCGCGTAAAAGCCTCTTCGCTCCCTTCGTGTCCGTGGACTCTGAGTGCGGTCCCGGTCCCGCGGCCTCGGCTCTCCATGCGGATCTCCACGCGCTGCTGCAGCGGAGCCTCGCACCGGACCGCTCCGGGGACTACCGGGACCCCCCGCGCGCCATCGTGGAGCTACGGCTTGGTCCCGCCGGGGGCGCGCTGCATTACTTGCCGCCGGACACGAGCGCTCTAGAGCGCGCACAGAGACGCCGGCGTCTAGCGGCCAATGCCCGCGAGCGGCGCAGGATGCTCGGACTGAACGTGGCCTTTGACCGGCTCCGCAGCGTTATTCCCAACACGGACAGCGACCGGAAGCTGTCCAAGTCCGAGACCCTGCAGATGGCGCAGATCTACATCTCCACCCTCAGCGAGCTGCTGCAGCAGGGCGCGGGCGGAGCACGCAGCCCGGGCACCGACAAAGCGCCGGCGGCCGGGGATCCGCCTCGGCCCGAGAGGCACTTCCACACGGCCAGGAGCAGCGGCGGAGGCCCGGGGTGCCCCGAGGAGGACGTGCAGGGGGGACGTGAATATCTGTGATTCTTTCAGCGTCAGACATTAAAGGACCAAAACGTGTTTCACGTGTTCGAGGACTCAGACACCGAGGACGACAGAAAGAAAAACTCTGTGCCAGAATTACTCAAAGTATCAATTTTTATTATTTTAAAATTATGTACAGGTAACCAAAGACATCGGTCTGCAAATTGGTACAAAGATCAAGTTTTCCTGCAGGCGGCTCGTGAAGAAGCTCTCTGTCTGTCCAAAAACAACAACACGGCTGGGAGAAAAAGGCTTAGAAAAAAGAAAAAATAGAATCAGATTCAGAAAAGTAGAGTCTACGGTCTAAATTTAAATTTAACCCCGGCCCACCCACGACCCTCCCCAAACTGCCCCCTCCGTCCCAAACTCCCTCCATCGCTCCCCTCCTACATGAGGAGGTCCAATCTATTTACAGGAAACTATGTACAAAAAGCTCTTCCATTCATTCTTCCAGACGTCTGTGAATAAAGCTCTTGTAAACTTTTCATAAAGGAGTGTGAAGTTTTAACGTGTGTGTGTGTGTGTGTGTGTGCGTGCGCGCGCTGATGTCCACAGACAAACAAATACAAAACCACATGAACAATGACACAATCTTTAAAGGTCAATTCAATGTCATTTTTTTTCCAGCTCTAAAGATTAAATCAAACAGCAGCAGGAGCTCACGGCGCTGATGACAAACGCCACAGAGCACAAAGGAACAGACGTGACAACTTTCAACGTTAGCTTGCTCAGACGATGCTCTCTCTCTCTTAATCTGGACCTTTAAAAAAATCTGTTTTCGAGAAAAGAAATTCAAAGGCGAATCTTTAGCTTAAAGCAGGAACGAAGGAAACCAAGCTAGCGTCAACCACTGCAGGTCCTCTAGCATCCACTTGAGGCTCCAAAAGCGAGTGGGTCCCCACAGACTCGCATTAAAATGCGACAGATTTACAGCAGTAATTAACACGCGCAGCCTGCTGGAATTTAAAAACCTGTTTTGGCCTCTATGGACAGCGTCTGTGTCCTTTATCTCACAGCAGTGACCTTTAGTGCCACGGGTTTGCGTTTCAGCGTTGATGAGCGACTGTGGGGACCTGAGCGTGGCTGCAGACAAAGAGCCAACACTAAAACGATGCTCACGGCCATCTTTCTTATTCAGGTTTCCTTTATAACAAGCTTATTAGCTGGAGGTCATTAAAGGGTTAATAAAGCAACTGAAGGGACGCCTCAGTTTGAGTCGCCCAGTGAGAGTTAGACCAAGGCTGTATGGTTTTAATGGAGTGGGCGGGGCTTATCCGAGACATCTTCCAATGAAATTATTGGAAAAAACAGTGTTTCTATTGTGTGAAAGACTCACATGTTCCCCTGGAGTTTCGCTCTTTTGAGAGTCTCCAAACTGACGAAATGTGACACTAAACTTAAATAACTTTTTTTTTAGCTTTTTAACAACAATGAGGCGGGAAATCTTTTCAAACTAAATCATATCTATTTATTCTATTAATAAAGCCTTTAGTTACAACGCTGCACTTGAAGGAAGGAGGAACAGAAATGACTCGTTTAAGGCTCCAGACTTCCCTTTCCCCCATCAGGGAACATCTCTGGAACTTCAGCTGCACTGACGGTGCACAGAGGACAGGAAAGGCTGGGGCGGGTTAAAGCTACAAGTGCAATGGCTGACGTGTAATGAGTTGCTGTTTGTACTGTAAGCGCTGCTGGAGTTTTGACTTCTTCACAGGTGCGCCATCTGAAAAGGCTTCAAAGATGAAAACCACAGAAGGTCCAACGGAAAAGCACGGGGCCGATTTCTATCATTTACAAATTCCCAATCCAACCTCAGCATCGCTGAAATGTACGTTAGAGAGTGATGCACTCTTGGAAAGTCCAAACACAGGATTTGGAGTTAAACTGCGGGTTTGAGGATCTTGAGCTCCAGCTACAGTGTTTCCTCCTGAAAACACCTGAGCAGGAGGGACAAACAATCGACCTCCTCTGTGAAAACCCCTCTGCTGGCGGCCCAGTTCAAAAGCAAAGAGCCTGGCCTTCACCTGTCAGACTGGGGGGGCTTCCTCGGCCGTCTTTACTGTAACTGAAGTCTCCACCATGAGCGGCGAGCTCAAAGGCCTGGCGGTAATTGAAAGGAGCAGGAGGAGGACAGGTTCTGGCCCAGAGGGCTCGGGAACCCGCTGAGACACGAAGCTTTTGATGTTGAGCGAGATCGATCGTTTGAAAGGGAAAAAAAACTTTCTGCTTTTTGGAAGCAGAGGTTGTCCAAAGTTTCTAAAACCCCCAAAAGCTTTGAGAGTCAGGTGTGAAGTCGGCACAAAGGCGCCGCCACGAAACGAGGTGTCATACAGAAGCAAGCAGTCCCACCTCGACTTCACCGCGGGTCAGGCTTTCCACCCTCCGCCCACAAATGATCAATACGCGTGGTTTCTCAGCGCTAAAGCACCTCCTTCAAACAGAGCCAAGAGGTTACAGCAGCAAAGAGGAGAAGAAGAACACAGCGTGAGAGAAATGAGGCGGCCTGTGAGGAGCCGGGGTCGACGTTTTCAAAGTAAAAGCCATCTTTTCTTTTTAAAGAGCTCAGCTTGTTTGTTTGGCAGTTATCAGCTCCAAAAGGCCGCGCTCAGGGCCGCGAGGCTTTGATGGCAGGCTGGGGGGGGGGGCAGCTTCACTCCAATCTGCCATCGCTCAATACGAAAGGGGTTTTCACGAGGGAGGGGCTGAGAAGGTGAGGAGACGCTTTGAAATGGAATTTATCAGAGAAGAAGAAAAACATCGCTCTGAGCAACTTTTTTTAAACTGAGGAAAAAGGAAGAAATAACAACCAAATACTGACTTGGATTCTTCAGAAAAACAAAAGCATGTGATCTCTGCTGCAGCTTCAAAGGGTTTATCCTTTAAAGTCACAGAGGAAACGAGCTGTTTCCAGCGCTGCCGAGGTGAAGCTCCTTTAAAAGGAGGAAGAGGACGACGTCCCGTTAGTTTACTCCAGCGGTCGACTCTGAGGTGGTGGTGATGGTGGTAACGATGATGAAGGAGATGGTTGTGTTGCATGTGTCTTTTTGTGTGAGTACGTATTTGAGACAGACTTCTCTCTAGCAGTGCTCCAGATAGTCAATGACCCGGGAGATGGACTTCTGTCCTGTGGTGCCGACGTCACACTGCAGAGAGGAAGCAGGGGTGAGAACACGAACACACACACCTGGAAAATTAGACGTGCAGATCGTTTCTTTCTCACCATTTCAACAAACTCACTGCTGGTTGTTTATTTAAATCACAGATTTTACTCTTGAATAAACTTGTTTGATAATCGTCGTTGAATAATGAGCATTTTCTCTCACTAGTCTGCGTCTGACAGACGTCGGGCGGAGAGCAGCACAGGGCAGATGAAGGATTACGTCGAACACTAATCAGAATATATCAGTTTGATATTGTGGAACGAGTTTCAGTGTTGCGTTACTCTGGACTTACAGCAGCCTCACGTCCACCTTTGTGAAACAGCGACTACATTTCGCAGTCAGCAACAGCTGTGATAGTTCTGCTTGGAGGTAATGATGATGTATAAACTACAGATGGCACGATACCACTTTTTTATGTCCGATACCGATATCATAAATTTGGATATCTGCCGATACCGATATGAATCCGATATAGTGTTTTTTAATCAACAAAACTGTTTTTTAAATATCTTGCTGCATTTTGTATAAGTTCATACTCAAGTTTAAAACAACAACTACACTAAAGCTATTCTGTTATACCTGTATGCAAAAAAAAAATTTTCATAGTTCAGCAATACTGATCAATCTAATAAACTTAAACCTACACCATCCTCCCTATTCTGGTATTTTAAAGAGTACTTAGCGTAAATATTAAGCAACCTAACTAATAGGGTTCCAACTCCCAGCAACAACAAAAATAAATAAATAAAAAATAGGGAACCACCCCTCACGCTCCACCTCATGATGCTTAATCGACGTAATCAACCTTAATTTGATGCAGTGTGAAAAAAAATGCACAGAAATCAATTATTTTTCAAGAAATATTAAATAGATTCAACATCTTTCTTCAACAAAATTGCAGACTGCACAGATGGTACCTTCCCAAAGGAAAAGTACTATAGCTTACTAGGGTATATATATTAGACTTAATAGTCACTATATACAGTAATTGACTTCTATTCATTTTACATCAAATTAAAACTTTGGGTGTCAGATAATTATTTATTAAAAGCTAGACATTTTAAATGAGAATAAGAAAGAAAAGTATGTCTTTGTGCCCCCTTTTCCCTGTTCATGCCCTATCGGCCCCCCTGGCTAAACTTTGCTAGATCCGCCCCTGCACAGTTACCAGCCGTCAGCTACGTAGAAAAAGATCCTGGTGTAGAAAGTAATATTAAATAACATTCTAACAACAGCTATCAAGCTTAAACGTGCTGCTGTTGTTCAGCCGCTGGTTTCCTCTTTCTGGTGCAAAGTGGGCCAAAACAAACAAGAGAAGGACTCGCGACAGAAAAGCCGATCAGCTGATCATTAAGCAGTTTCATGATTGAAGTAGCAGCCGGAGAGCGAGAGGCAGTCGCTCGTTAAGCTTAACGCAGGAATGCTTTACAAACATTCAGAGATGGACTTACACACTTGCTTTACTTCTCTCGGGGATAACTTTGTCGGAGATTAAATGCCGGGTTGCTAGCGAAGCTCCAAATGCTATCCAGACCACCGACAGGTCCGCATGCCACAGCCGCTCTATCACGTGATGCATACTGCTCCGACGTGCTAACGTTCTGAGGTGAGTTACGGCGTGTTGCAAGTTTTGTGAGGTGCTTTCGTGATATTTAATGGATCGGATTACATTTTTTATTTTTCTCCGATATCCGATCCAGTAATTTAGGTCAGTATCGGACCGATACCGATACGTAATATCGGATCGGTCCATCTCTAGTATAAACACATTATGTTGAACAAGCAAATGCTGGAATTGTAGCTAATGTGTCCATTAATGTAACGCATAACAGCCAGTATGCTGTCAGAGTAAATGTATGCCGTTTTTATTGCCTTCACAGTGAAAACAAGCGTAGATGTAGCTTCATTCATAAAAACAAAGCCAGTTCCGAAGTGCCTAAAAACCTGCATTCTATCTGATGACCACCAGATGGCGATAACTGTGGTTGCAAGTCGACTTGTGGTCCTAAAGCATCCTATGGGAAAACGGCTCCCCGTCTAAGCCTCAGTACACAATTTCCTGCTTTTGTAAATCTTGGTCATGCCACGTTTCAACAAAGCCAGTGGTGCTTGCTCATTGGCTAATAGCTTGTGATTGACAAGTCTTTAGCCAATGAGCAAGTGATTTCAGGATGAGACCCACCCCTCCTTGTCACATCCAGTTTTTTGTGACAAGATGGCTTCAGAATAGTTGGCGTCAGCGTAGCGACGTCCCTCCTTTATACCGTGTTTTTTCGCAGCTCTGACGCGTTTCTACAAACTCGCTCGGTTCTGAAATCTTCCCTCCTTCATGTATTTGGGTAAAACAACCCGCGCTTCCGGGTTTATGTGTCCAACATGAGCAGGATATACGGTGATTTGATAAACTAGCTTATAAAAAAGGCCAGGGGTCAAAATTTCAACATTTTTGTTTCTTATCTGCTTCAGCAACATTTCTTTATGTAAAACGATGATCATCTCCACAAGAAGTTTTAAGCTTTAATTTAAAAAAATACATAAATGATCCCCAAACATATTCAGAGTACGTTTGGATCAGAGTCATCAGGACTTTTCTCTCCGTGCTCACTAGAACAGAACTAAACACATTACAGGGATTCTTTTATTGAAGCTGTGACTCACAGTGAGGTTCATGAAGTTGAGGAACTTTTTCAGCATTTCTGTCATGATGGAGAAATCTCCTTTAGGCAGGTTCTCTCTCACAGTAGTCACATTCATCTGCAGGACAGTCAAAAGAAATCAATCACACACACACGAAGATGAATCAGACAAATCTAAACGAGCTCTGAAGCCTCAGAACAACAAGTGCTGCTGTGAACTGTACGCCTCAGTGTGTCATGAGGCTGCATTTATGTGTTTTTGAGGGTAAATGTGTTTCTACTGTGTTTAAAATGCAGGTGAAAACTTTGAGAAACTGCCTACAGACACACAAATCTGTCAGAGTCACATTATGGGGACAAAAAGCACATACCCAGCATGCAATTCATTCATGTTTTGATGTTAGTCTCCAGGAAATAAATGAGTCAGGGTGACGTCTTCTCAACTTACAGATACACAACTGTGTGTGTGTGTGTGTGTGTCAGACTCACCGGGCTCCCCTGGCATAGGCAGCCCAGCAGCAGTGCCGTGTAGGAGGCCACAATACTGTCCTCCATGTGCTTCCCTGCATGCTGCAGAGCTGGGACAGAAACGAGGATCATGTCTCACTTTTTGCTGCTCGATGGTAACGATCGTCAGGAGTGATCAAAGCCACACTCTGGTTGTACCTTTGTTTAGGTCCAGCTCCTCGTCCTCCTCGTCCTCCTTCTTCTTCTTGCCTTCGTCCTGTTTGTCAGAGTCGTTGTCGTTGGCGACCCACTGGATCTCGCCGCCCGTCTCCTGCCACTGGCCGCTCTGGTCCAAAGCAGCTTTCGGCGCCTCCTTTATGAGGTCGTCGGTCTGGGCCTCGGCCAGGACGGCGGCCCGCTCCCGCTGCAGGAACAGCTGAGGGCGACAGAGAACATCAGAACCAACGCCAAGCGATTTATAGGCTGTATATACACGATCATCATTTTGTGTTCAATAAGATTTGAAGCTAGCCAAAGTTTCCCAATAACTTCCTCTCAGATTTCGATACCATCTGATTGTTTTTACAGTAGAGGGGTCGCCCCCTGCTGGACAGAATAAAAGAGCAGGTTTATGCACTTTTCAAATGCAGAAACTACATCCATGAAAACAGTTCACAGATGGTTTCCTGACAGGCAGTGACTGATATTTAGGACCGACTTAATGGAGCTCATGGGAAACGCTGAGTAAGACGGCAGAAGAGAACAAAACGCAAACGAGACAAACTCAACTCAGAGGATCACGCGAGCATTAATTTTCACGCTAAAACATAAAAGTGAGCTTGAAATATTCCTGACAGCAGCAGCTGCTGCAGACATTAATCATGTTTGTGCTCCATTAATCAAAGACGCAGTGAGGGAATGATCAACCTTTTCTTTTAATGCTGTGAATCGTCTGAACACCAGGAGACAAATTCAATTCAGTCTGATCTTAACTGTTTTAGAGGGAAGCAGAAAACTAAACTCTACACCTGACAGATGACACCAAAACTACCCACGACGAGACGTCGCTCATACAAAGGTTTATTTTCTCCTTCCAAAACTGAGAAGGGTCCACACTGAGCACCGAGATGAATCTGAATGAAGGTCGGCATGTGAGAAAGAATTTAAAAGCATCCAGTATTATTTTAGAGCCTATTCTGGGAGGGAAATTTCCCCTTTTCTGGTGAAATAAACCAACTGAAGTGACAGAGAGTGCAGCAGATCCACACTCGCTCCTCTCTGAGCTGCAGAAAGTTTTAATACAAACGAAAACTTTAAAAAAATTAACCGGATTTACAAAAACAGAACATTTTGATAGTTTGTTCCTAAAATATGGACATTTATGTTTGTAAAGTGGCGACTTCACTTCAGTCGTACTCTTCTTTGGCTTTTTCCATCCACTCCTGAGTTTGTACCTGTACAAGAGCAGCGATGGCGCTCAGCGGGCCCGTGCTGGCGATGTCCTGGTGCTGAGGGTTGAGCAGGACGGTGGAGTCGCAGGGACCCTGGCCCCCTTCCATCTCCATCTCCATAAGGCAGTACCTGTTCCTGGCACTGTACTCCACCAGGTTGATGAGCAAACCCAGACCCTGAACGCAGCAAACACACAGTGGCACTCATGGGTCAGTCATTTTAACTCTGTTTTCACTGCTGTCATCATTAATACCACTTTAAGTCTAATTTTAACCCAAACCTGTGATGGAAACTGTCACGTCACTCATGTTTAATACGCACCAGTACTCTGATGTCGAACCTCTGCTCCTGAGGAAGATACTGAGGGACTTTGAGAACACAGTTCAGAGCCGTCACTATCAAATCCTCCTGCTCTCCCGTCTTCGTGCTGCCCCACTCTGCAGACCGAGTTTCACACACGTTTATCCATCAGATTAATAATGTTTAAGTGTTTCAATAAGCCGCAGTAAAGTGTGTTTGGAGTGTTTTGGTGCACTAACCGTTGTCATGTGTCAGGTTGAGCAGCACTCCTATGATGGCCCTCATGCAGTCCTCCACCGCTTTCCCCACCGCGGCTCTGTCGGACTTCACCTCCCTGCTGTAACGCTGGATCATCTCCTCACACCTGCTCAGCGCCCTGACAGACAAAGAGAGGCCCGGTAACTTCACAGAACTAGACTCAATATTTCTTCCAAATAATTACTGACCTTACTGACCAAGTGCTAAACACATAACTGAAAGGGCTGCACACTGATAACTCTGAACAAATGTCCCATAAACCTTTGTGTTACCAAGAAATTCAAGCTAAAATGAGCCGGTCCGTGCGGGTTCACCTGGTCCTCCTTTTCATTTACAGTCACTCGATCGTCATCAGTGCAAACTGCGCTCACATCCAGATGTCTGAACATGACTCGCCTCTTTCCTTTTCTACTCCATCATAAAACAGAGCAGCATTCACACACACTCACTCTTTCTTGAGGACGGCTGCAACCGCAGAGGGGCAAGGCAGGGCAGCAGCCTGATGTAAATAACCAAATTAAATCTAATGACAGTGGTGACTGAAAACAGAGCAGAAACCAGAGTCTGAACATCAGGACACAACGAGAGGAAGGAGAAAAAAAAAATGGCAGGTGGTGTGTCACAGGAAACTGATTGTGGGGTACAGAGAAGGGAAAAGAGGAGAAATGACTTAGACATGAATGTAAAAATGAGGCAGAAATACTTGGTCCACCTTTGGAAAATTAACATGGAAACTTGCAAATGCTAAAAACTGCAGTTCCTCAAATGCCCACTCGGGGCCGGCTCCATGAGTGAGTCAGTCCCCACAGACTGCAGTGTTCAAATATCCAACTGTACAGCAGGAATGAACATGTTCACAGCCTGATACAGAAATACGCTTTAGTCCTCTCAATCGACCCCTTTCTGAAAATCAAGACATTTAAACTGTTTTAAGGCTGAAAGTTTGCATTATTAGGTGCGCGACTCATTGTACTGACACGGAGGGCCGTCAGTGAACTGCACCTCTGCACCGTGCTTGTGCTACTGTAGCCTTTTAGAGCATTTTAACGCAATTGTCTGTCAAATAATAAGACCTGCTGTGCAGTTAATTTTGCTCAAAGACCATCCGAGAAACCTGAGCTCCAGGTCATCTGTGTGATGAACAACACTGTTTGTGTTGTTTGATAGCTCAGCTAAGTGCCTCTGGGTGGAAAACCCAACATGATTGTGACCAAAATACTAACACTGAGACAAAAAGGGTCAAAGATGTGACTGTATGGTGGCTACATCCATCTGTTAAAACACGCTACAGACGGCCCTGTTAGCAGGTTTGCTCCGACACAGAGTTTATGCCGAGTGTCCCTCCTGCCTTAAATCTCCCATTTATGGGGCGTGGAACCGACACCAGGACTGAACGAGCTCATCGCATTCATCTTCTCGCTGCAGCTCAGAGGTGCTTCATCAGAGTTCAACAGTTCCAGATTTGCTAAGTCTGGCCTTAAGCTGGGCTTTCACTCTTCTGGTTCACTTACAGGGAAATACAGTCAAGACAACAAGTGCAGGCAAAAATAAAACAAGGAGCATCATTAACTTCCTTTATATGATAATTCTATCAGCAATGAGTCCGGGTCAGGAGAAGAGGGTGCAGCACGCAGCTGGGCGCTCTGTGACAGGCTTCATATTCACAACTTTTACATTTCGCTCTGCTTAATTTAACAGAGTGATGCGTTTGTGTCCAGATGCAGACGAGGCTCGTCAATAAGCAAAAGGACGGGTGTGTGTGTGTGTGTGTGTGTGTGTGTGTGTGTGTGTGTGTGAGAGAGAGAGAGAGATGGGGTTGTTACGGGGCTTATTAAATTAATCCTGCAGACAGCTGAAAGTCTCAAAGCAGCTCAGGGTCGAGTTTGGTTTGAAACAATGAGGGCAGCGTGTGCGGGAACCAGGAGGAGTCAGGAGGAAGAGGAGGAAAACAGGAGTGAGTGATGAAGAGTAAACACTGTTGGAGTGTGTGAGAGTAACTTCACAGTTTCAGCTGCGTGTGTGAGAGAGAGAGCTTAGATGGCGGTGCTCGCTCTCCCACTCACCCCGCAGTTTCTGGGGTTAATCGAGTTAGCGCAGCGGACAGCTGAAGGCTCAGACTGAGGCCTGTGTCACCCGCCCGAGGGAACAGCAGCTCTTTGTCGAGCCATTCGACCTTCATCCTCATCATCCTCGACCCCCACCCTCACTGCAGACCTTCTGCAGAGGGCAAAGGTCCGGTCACACAAAGGACGCAGGAGGAGCGAGAAGGTAAATTAACTCAGCGCAGCGCGACAGATGCTGGAGTTTGACTTGATGAACAGTGAGTACAGAGATTGGTGCATCATTCTGCAGCTGAGAGGAGCTTCAGTTTACCGACGGAGGGACCCGAGGCTGGGCTGACGTCAGGTGCTCACCTGACCGGTTCATGTTTACGTAGTCGGATCAGCTGGGCCTCGCTGTGCCGCGCATGTTCTCCAGGTGACTGCGTTAAGCCCCTCCCACAGGCCAAAGATTCAGGTGAGATTAAATGGTCCAACACGGCCAGAGGTGTGAATGTGAGAACGGGTGAATGCGACTTGCTGGATAAAGTGGTCATAAAGACCAGAAAAGCACTTTGTGCCGGTCGTACATTTAAAACCTGGAAAGCTGGTGGAAAATCAGACGTCACAGGACAGAAATGTGATGAATCCACAAATGATTAGAGGGAAGATTTTAACTGTTTATTCTTCAATACAAAACAGAGCATTTCACTGCTGTAGACAGCAGCGCTGACACAGCCAGCTGTAAAATTTCCTCAAACTTAGAGTTTGAGGAAGCTCACTAATAAGTTCTCTTTGTTTATTTAGTATGAATTATAATTAAATTCAACCAATGTATAAAATAAACCATAAACGCACAAAATCTGGTCTGTCTGTATGAATCAGAACACCTCGACGACTAAAACACATTAAAGAATGAACAGAGACCAAAGCGGAGACTCTGCTGACAGCAGGGGTCAGGGTCGAAAGGTCACCGCTATGACTGACAGGATGTCACAACCAGGAAATGAAGCAACAAAAAGATGATGCCGATGACACACACAGGATATACAGGGAGTGCAGAATTATTAGGCAAATGAGTATTTTGTCCACATCATCCTCTTCATGCATGTTGTCTTACTCCAAGCTGTATAGGCTCGAAAGCCTACTACCAATTAAGCATATTAGGTGATGTGCATCTCTGTAATGAGAAGGGGTGTGGTCTAATGACATCAACACCCTATATCAGGTGTGCATAATTATTAGGCAACGTCCTTTCCTTTGGCAAAATGGGTCAAAAGAAGGACTTGACAGGCTCAGAAAAGTCAAAAATAGTGAGATATCTTGCAGAGGGATGCAGCAGTCTCAAAATTGCAAAGCTTCTGAAGCGTGATCATCGAACAATCAAGCGTTTCATTCAAAATAGTCAACAGGGTCGCAAGAAGCGTGTGGAAAAACCAAGGCGCAAAATAACTGCCCATGAACTGAGAAAAGTCAAGCGTGCAGCTGCCAAGATGCCACTTGCCACCAGTTTGGCCATATTTCAGAGCTGCAACATCACTGGAGTGCCCAAAAGCACAAGGTGTGCAATACTCAGAGACATGGCCAAGGTAAGAAAGGCTGAAAGACGACCACCACTGAACAAGACACACAAGCTGAAACGTCAAGACTGGGCCAAGAAATATCTCAAGACTGGTTTTTCTAAGGTTTTATGGACTGATGAAATGAGAGTGAGTCTTGATGGGCCAGATGGATGGGCCCGTGGCTGGATTGGTAAAGGGCAGAGAGCTCCAGTCCGACTCAGACGCCAGCAAGGTGGAGGTGGAGTACTGGTTTGGGCTGGTATCATCAAAGATGAGCTTGTGGGGCCTTTTCGGGTTGAGGATGGAGTCAAGCTCAACTCCCAGTCCTACTGCCAGTTTCTGGAAGACACCTTCTTCAAGCAGTGGTACAGGAAGAAGTCTGCATCCTTCAAGAAAAACATGATTTTCATGCAGGACAATGCTCCATCACACGCGTCCAAGTACTCCACAGCGTGGCTGGCAAGAAAGGGTATAAAAGAAGAAAAACTAATGACATGGCCTCCTTGTTCACCTGATCTGAACCCCATTGAGAACCTGTGGTCCATCATCAAATGTGAGATTTACAAGGAGGGAAAACAGTACACCTCTCTGAACAGTGTCTGGGAGGCTGTGGTTGCTGCTGCACGCAATGTTGATGGTGAACAGATCAAAACACTGACAGAATCCATGGATGGCAGGCTTTTGAGTGTCCTTGCAAAGAAAGGTGGCTATATTGGTCGCTGATTTGTTTTTGTTTTGTTTTTGAATGTCAGAAATGTATATTTGTGAATGTGGAGATGTTATATTGGTTTCACTGGTAAAAATAAATAATTGAAATGGGTATATATTTGTTTTTTGTTAAGTTGCCTAATAATTATGCACAGTAATAGTCACCTGCACACACAGATATCCCCCTAAAATAGCTAAAACTAAAAACAAACTAAAAACTACTTCAAAAACATTCAGCTTTGATATTAATGAGTTTTTTGGGTTCATTGAGAACATGGTTGTTGTTCAATAATAACATTATTCCTCAAAAATACAACTTGCCTAATAATTCTGCACTCCCTGTACAGCAGCTGAGGTAATCTGGGCTCAATGTGACCGGGTTTAAAGATTCTGCTGTTACATCACCACATTTACTGATTTTCACAATAACAGTGGAGAGCTTTCATCCATCTCTGCTCAGAAACCCGACTGGAACGGCACAAAAAGATGATAAAAGAGGAAAAGGCAACAAAACAGTGAGTACAAAGTAGAAGTTTTCAGCAGACGTGCCACCTGATAAAACTGCTGAATCTAAGCACACAGAGCTGAGCGGCTCCACACGAACACATCAGGGGTGAGGAGCGTGTGTAATCACTCACTTTGCAGAAGAGATGATGAGCAGCGAGTCCTTGTAGGCGATCAGGTAGCTCTGGTTCTCGGGGTTGTGGACGGTCACCTATGAGTGCAAACACACAGTCAGCAGGAGAGCACCAATGAACTCGCTGATTTTACTTTAACTTGACTTCGTATTTTTACCCTGGCTCTCTGCTCCAGTGTGAGGATGCTTCTCCAAACAGAATACGTTTGAAACACCATCATCACGTTCAAGCCAACTGTCAAATTGAGTGATGGTTTTGATTTTCAAACATCAAAACAGGTGTTAAACCTTTTCTGAACAAACATGTCGGGAAACGTGACGACGAGCAGAAGCTGACAGAAGCTTCAATGTGACTGAGCGGGTGGGACCCAGACCTCCACGTCTAATCAAACTGCCCCAGCTGTACGATCAAAGAGGTCAGCAAATAGCTCATTGATGGTTCAAAAGAACCAGTAGTTTTATGCTAGCTAGGAAGAACCTAACTCTTCATCAGTATCATCTTAAGCCTCTTTTCCACAAGTACCTACTCAGCTTGGCTTGACTTGGTTTTTAGCGTTGCTCATTAGGTGGTAAAGCCTGGTTTTGGTGCCTGCTCAGGTGGGGCTCCAAGCAAGCTGAGAATGCAATAAACACACAGCAAACTGCTGATTGGCCAGGGAGTGACATCACTAGATGAGTCATGAGAGCGGCGACTCCGCACGAATCAAACTCCCAAACAACGAGGGAAATGACCGCACACAAACCAGTGCCATGGTCCAGCACTGATTTAGCATCACCTCGGCGTCCTCCATTGCCGTGACGGTACGGGGCTTTTGGTCTGCGTTGCTATAACAACAGCACCCTATTTAAGTGGTACTCAGTCGTAACAGAAAACTACCAGAGGCGAGTGGAGCCGAGCAGAGCAGGTGCTCGTGGAAAGGAGGCATTTCTGTTGTTTGGATGTTTTTGGCCAGACCAAACTTTTTGGTGCTTTCTGGCTCAGCTGTAAAGAAATAAATAAATAAATAAACACTACAGATTTAACGTAGTCGTACTATGTGATCGGGAGGGGCACAGGGGTGTAAACAGCATTTGTGCAGCGATGCCACTTTGCCACACTCAGAGAGCTGAGCGGTTGTAGTCGGTGGTCTGCTTGTCACGGTCGTCACTGGTACAAAACATTTGAGTAAGTGGACGTCAGCAGGCCCAAAGATAATTGTAAAACTTTAATAAGGTTTCCTCACAGTTCATTTCCCCCTCCCATAATTTAATTCCTTTCTTTGTGTAGAACAACAAACATGTCTCCCAGCGAAAGAAGCATGTCGGCTCAAACTTCCTCGCCTGTTCGCACCAGCCGAGTTTAACTGAACGCTTCTTTTCACTTTGATACTTTATATTCTCTGTTTTTGGCATCAAAGTAATAATGTGTGTGTATATCTGTTTTTTTATTTCCAATTACATTTTGCTCTGAGCCTCGCAGGCTTATAAAAAAGAACACAAGTGGACTTTAAAAACAAAACCCTGTCATGTCTTTTCTTATTTTGATTTGGCACTTACACTCTCCAGCACGCGTAAACACCGCTCAGCCCCCCACAAAGACGACACCAGCTTCTCCTTATCGTCCTCTTGGTTCAAGTTATCCACACATTCCTTCACTGTGGGCAGAGAAACCAAAACAAGGACACGAGGTGAGAAATGAAACGCTTGACAGTTTTCCTCTTTCTGCTGGACTTCTGTGTAATGGTCGACCTTTGTCTACTATGTGGTCCAGTCCTCCCAGCAGCCGCAGCTCCTCTTTGAACCAGTCACCTGCTCGTTTCGAAGTCAGAGACAGCAACGTCTCCATGGCCAAATGACCCGTCTGTAGGGAGAAGGAGGAGGAGTCAGGAGCTTAAATCTAAACTCTCAAGCATCACTTCACACGTTTAACACGTTGGAGTTATTCTGTGCACCGTGGGCCGCTTCCTGTGGTTGTAGAAGTTGAATTTTGTGTTTTTCTGGCTCAGCTCTAACAGATCTGTGAGAAACATCCTGACACATGTGGGAGTCTGTGAGTCACCCCGACTGGAGCAGTCGAAATAATCGCTCAAAGCTTTTTCCGCCCTCAAAATAAACCCCCTCTGAACACGTGTAATGTTAACGCCGCCGCCGCGTGCGTTTGTGTACCGTGATGTTCTGCAGGTCCAGGTGCTTGTTGTGCACCGTGTCGCACAGCTTCCTGATCTTCTCCTTTATTTTGGCGATCTCCTTGGCACTGAAATGGACCGTGGAGTCCGCCCCATTCCCGCCCCCCTGGTCCTGGTCCAGTTCGAGCAGGCGGAGCATCAGGTCCAGGCAGGACCGGTCCAGATCCATGTTGAGCCGGTCTCTGCTCAGGATGTACATGAGAGAGGCTGTACACAGAGCCAGGTTCTGCAGAGGAGACAGAAAAAGAAACTTTAAATTATTTACTGTTGTTCTCAAACTTCCTTCAGCTCTCTCAGAGGTCGCCTTCTTTGGTTTTTTTAAACATTTGTTTCCAGATTACAGACAATGGATTTCAGCATGTTTACTCACTAACCTGACCCAGAATCAGTTCTCACCAAATTATTTGTTCATTCTGTTAAACAACGAATTCTGAATCTTGGATGTAAAACAACAAATAACAAAAGTGAACAGCACTGAGTCGGGGCTCAGTGCTCAGCTGCTGACCCTCACCGGGTGCTGTGGGGCATCGTTGAGCGTTTTGAAGACCTGAGCCACCTTCCCTCTGGCCCTGAGGTGCATCCTGAAGCTGGGCATGGCGCAGCGTGTAGCCAGGCTGATCACACTAAAGACACAACACAGAACATCAACACACAAAATGAGTGTTTGTAAGTGTGAAAACGAGGTTTAAATGTTGAAAATGTAACGCTCTGCCTCCTTCATTAGCGCCCCGATGCTCATTCCAAATTTCAAACACTTTATATCCCACTTCCCAAATCTGAACTCCGATACGTGTCAGACACTGCAAGGCAACCTCCACAGCTGGTTTCATCTCATGTGTATTGTTGTTATAACAAGAAAGTGAGTGTACGAGGGGTGTAAATATCACCTGTAATCACTGGCTGTTGTTGGTAAATATGGGAAAATTTTAACTTCCCATGGAACGTGGAGACTCACCTAAGGCATCGCGTGTTGAGAGGCTGTCCGCTCTTCAAACCAGTAGCTAGGTATTCAAAGTCATCGGTGAACTCCTGGTTTTCCCCGAACTCCACCACGTCGTTGAAATGCTTCACGTGTTGGACGACTGTGTACAGCTGCAAAGCACAATGAGAGACATGTTGATGTTTCTGGTGTTTCTTCAGCGTGATGTGGAGTGAGCTCAAGGAGAACATTTTCTGTGCACCTCTTTATGTTCTTTGTGACACTTGAGTGCAGTGACGGTGTCCTGGTATGGATCTGTAGGGACAGTGACACACTTTGTGACCTTTGGAGGAGGGGGCGGAGCCTTGAACACACCATCGTCCTTCTGAGAGTTAGAGGGCTCCTTACTGGAGCCTCCAGCCGAGGCTGAGGCCTGGAGACGGAGAAAGGTTGACATGAGTAAGCTGCAGCTGCTTTGTTTTTGATGCAGGCTGAAATCGAATGTTTGGTCTGAAAGCGAGACTTACGGGAGTCGTCTGTGATCGCGCGAAGAAAGGCGGAGGGGGCTCTTCTTCGCTCTCCAATGTCCAGTGCCTGGCGTTGTACACCGCTTTGGTGGGAGACTGAAAAACAAACAAGCATATAAAAACATAAACATCGCAGAAGCTGGAAACAGACATGCAGTTCCTCAAATGGCCACTTGAGGCTTCAGCGTGCACTGTGCTGTGGGTGCTTTTTACAGCAGTATTAATGAAATACCTGACGACCAACGAGCCCTGCTGTGTCGTGGGATGCTACTGAGCACATAAATGTGTGTGTGTTTGCACAGCACCAGCAAAAGGATGCACTTGTACAAATCTAACACCGCACTTAAAGTCAAGGCTTCAAAACCGGAGCCAACAAACCAAACAAAACTAAAGTGTGAGAAGATTACACTGAATAATTCAACTGTTACTAAAGCAAAGCATCTCAAATTCAGGAGAGTTTGGTGGATAACAGACAGAAACCAAGACGCTCGAATCCAGGCATGTTCTGAACAAAAGTGTTTAATGTGAGAACCCACAGCAGAGGGTTTTTAGGGCAATATGGTACAGGGTCAATATTTATTTTAAATGAGAACAAAAACTAAGCAGCTGTTGTGAACTCTGCTCCATTTATCTGGAACCCGTTATAACCAGTATGACATGCATTTCTGCACACGTTGACGAAGAAGAAGAAAACTGACTTAATTTATATTTTTTAAACCTTTTCTGACTCCTGACTTTCTCCAAATTTCTAAAAATATTAAATTCAATATTTCAAGTTCTGTATTTTTATTGTGTCACCAGACAGAAGCCTTGGCTGTTCACCGTGGACCAACTGTTCTTTTGTATCTTTATGATTTTTTAAAAGAACTTTTGGAATAAAATCAATAAATAAAATCGACTTGAAACAATCGAGGAGAGCAGATAAATAAAAGAGAACATAGTGGATCGAAACTGATGCTCAGGGTGAAGCAGAAACGGAGGAGGGGAAGCGCATTAAACTGAGCAGAGTTTGCCAGCGTTGATCAAACAGCAGGACACACACACGCACACACACTTAAAAAACAAACACACACACCCTCCCACGCCACCGTCCACCCTCATCCTTGGCTCATCTCCTGTCCTCTTTGTATATTTTTGCCAAACCTGTGGTTGGTGGTTGCCGGGGCATTCATAATGAAAAACAAAATAGGACGAGCGGAGAGAGTTGGCTGAGGAGAGGAGCGGTGAGGAGGTGGGGCGGGAGGGGATTTCTGCACCGCGGGGCTAATAAGCAGAGACAAAGGGGAGTTTGGGGATGAGCTTTGCTGTGCTGGAACATCAACACACCAAATTAAAGCCTGCGACAGTAATCTGAATGACACAGGCAGACACCCAGCCCACCCGCCCCGCCCACCTGCTGCTAAGAAGTATGGGACAGATGAGAGGGGGGTGAACGTGCCGTGTCTCTGCTATGGGCCAGATTAAAAATATAAGAAAAAACAAAAACACGCTGTTTTTGGCATTGCGGGTGTGCATTAGGAGCAAACTACAACTTCACTGCCAAACCTCGTGAATTAGTTATCCCGACTTCACCGGAGGGGTCAGAATGGCAGGAAAACCATGATCAGAATATGAAACTAGTGTCGAGTGGGGAGCATATTTGGTTCGGACAGCTCTCTGATTCTGGCTTTCCCACCAGCGCCCAGCGCCAGAGTGAACATGGAACTGAGAAAGCGAAGAGCAAAGGGCCAACAGTTTGGAGACATTTCACGCATGCCTACAGATTTTCTCTGATAAACTTTTCTCTCCCCGTCAGCTTCTCCCTCTCATTATGCTCGGTTACCACTGATTGGTAAGCTTTCGCTGCACTGGCGCCAACGTAACACGTTGATGTTAACTTGATGAATATCGTTTCATTTCTCCCGTCTGTCCGCTCCTCTCTGCGAGTTTGGGCCGTAAATAACACTCAGTCTGCAGTAAAGACTCCCCAAACATCAGGACTGCAATCACAAAAAAAACTTTGCCGTGGCGACGTCATCGTGACTGTGTCCATCGGCAGTACGGCTGATTACTCATTCCTGTCATCCTTCTCTGAAGCTCACTGCTTAGAGCACACGCACAGTTGGTGCTTTGCCACCTGCACAGCAGCAGACTCACGGAGGCGGAAAGTAAAATCAAATCCTGTGTGAAGCGGATACCAGCTCCGTGTGACCGAACCATGGAAGTTAAGGCGGCGATGCCGCGTGTTACTTTGTGTTAAAGAGCAGGCACGCTCCAGTTATGCTGTTGTGTGCTTGTTTCACCCCCAGCACCCATCCTGTGTGTGTGTGTGGTAATTTTGTAGATTTTATACAATGACAATGAGTCTTTATGGTACAGCAGTGGAATGAACGACATTAGGACAGTGGAGAGGGTCACTGTTATGGATGTAATAACCGCTCGTCCCTTAAAAACATTCCCCAAACAAAGCCAGCGCCATCTCCTAAATATGGATGAGCCTGTCCAAGTGTTGTCATTATGGTAACATCTAATATCTCCCAGAGTCCTCAGCTCAATAACCTAACAACGCCCAGGCTCATCTGATGGCACAGACGTACAGTTTACTGTAATCAAAGCCGAGTTCTGACGACTCCACCGTAGGCCGCTCACTTCCGAGGGTTATTATTTTTATAATGAGCTGCACTCCTCTCTCGCTCTCGATCACGTTAATGGGAGATGGAGCGAGATCTGGGCTGTACTGCGGCCCGGAGGAGGGGGTAATACAGGGAGGTAAAAAGTATGATGAAGCGGTCAAGACAAAGCGATGGAGACAGAAATTCAACTGAGAGGGAGGAAAGTTATTTTAGGAGTCAGAGCATGAAACTGGAGAAGCAGAGAGGATGAGAGAGTACATTAAGTGCGTTATTATGCTCCTATGGGCACCGTGTCTTCTAATGCCATTACTGCTTGTCTGTAACAGGGAGGAAATTAACTTCATACTTTGGCACTTCAAAAGTTCTCTGCAGGTGCACAGATTCAAAAGCTATCTCATACTCAGGACAGGCTTCAGACTATCAGAGCAAACCAATCAGGTCATTTCAAAGTGTGCAACTAGACTGCAGTGCAATAAATAAGTTTGTGCAGAAGACACGAGGAGCAAAATGAGCAAAGCATTTCCCCTTTCTAAAGCAAAGCCTGTATATAAAAGAAGGCTGCTGGAAGTGCTGTGGATTCTGAAGAATTTCAGTTTTAAAGTGTCTTGTGATTCGGTGTGAAGTTAGTATGTTTCCCACCTCCAAAGTTCCTTTTTCATACAACCTGTATGTATCGGAGATCTATGAGGTATGACTGTAAAGTTTAGATATAATCAGTAGGGTTGGGCAGTATGTACAAATTTGCAAACCCGCAATCGTCAGTCCAACAATCGCCGATGGACGATATATTCGCGCATGTGCAGACTTTTTGATGGGCGGAGCAATGTAATCACGCGCAGACTGATTTATGCGTTTACAACACAGAAGTCATCCAAACATAGACGAACTAATC